TTAGGTCATAATACATTGTAATGAGATGAAATGTTTTCTAAATGTTATCTCTTTTTTAGAGAAAAGAATGGGTCCAGATATGTTGCAATTCCTCATTTCATTTGCTAAAGAAAGCAATCAAGTTCCTGTTACATAAAATAATAACCAGTCATAGCAGTTGAAGCCCAATGAAGAAACACATCAGGGGATGAATTTCATAATTGAATAATTTTATTTTAGCTTAAGAGTATTATCTTTTTCATCTGTGCTTCTATTACACTATTATTAGTTTTAGTATGGAATTTACTTTGTTGTCTGCCAAACCAGCTGTCAGATGGTAGACCAAGTTGCAGGAATCTTTTAAAAGTAATAATAAAAAAAGAAACCGCACTATTCACTGGAAATTAAAGTATTCTCTTTAAGGAATAGGAAATTTTTTTTCTGAATATCAGCTCTTTTTTCTTAATTTTTATACTGCAAATACTTGTATCAGTGAAAAAGAGCTCACATCAAAGTACCGCCCATGATGTTTATTCTTAGCATTAGAAAATAATAAATATAAAAATATATAAAAATAAAAATTAATATTAAAAAATAATAAAAATAAAACAAGCGTATCATGATCTCATAAACATTTAGAATCAATTTATTCCAAGTCAGGAGAGCATTAGGTGATTTAGCACCAAACCAAACACAAGAGGTTTTAGTAACTGCTTTAGTACATCCAGGCCCATGACAAAATGTTATTAATTAAGCAAACTGAGGTAAAGTCAATACCCATGCCTCATGCTCTTCAAAGAATATAGTATGTGCTCTTGGGTTCTGAAAACCATTTTTTGTTATCCTTATGATTTGATATCCAACCAGGGATGTGAACCTGATACTTTCCTAGTGGTGGAATTGGAATAATAATCTCAATAATTAAAAATCTGAGGGAAAATTTAACTTCTAGGATTATACTTTAAACATATCTTAGTTTACTTGCCTACAAACAGAAAAAATTACCCAAATTATACTGTAAAGTTAAAAAAAGGCTATAAACACCTTTTCTGAAAAAATATCTTTGCACTCGTACTTTCACAGTTAAACAACAGCCAACTGATACGTGCTACTTGCTTTGGTACTTCACGCAAAAAAAAAATATACTTCTCATTCAAACAGTGAAAAGAACCACATGCAACTCCAGCACTTATCGCAGCCAACAACTTACCTCGTCTGGGTCAGCAAGGTCAGCCAGGTCCTCCACCATGGTAGGCAGCAAATCGTCCGGTATGAAGACCTGCAGCCATGGGCCACGACTAGCATAGGGACAGCTGGCATCCACAAAGGCACCGGCTACAGAGGGAGGCACCAGCGTCACTGCACTAACATCGACTACTGACTTGAAGGTGAAATGCCGTCCATGCTTTAGACGACCTCTGCAAGTAAGAGGTTTCGAAAAGTCAATTTACATGCTCTTAACTCTGTAAGAGTATATAACTAAAAGTAAATGCAGAACTGCTTTAAATCAAAGAAGCAATCATTAAGTAATTTCTCTGGGTGACTACTTCTTGTCATCAGTTTATTTTAAAATAAAAGCAAAATAAATATAATCATGTCAAACCTTAGTGCCAAAGGAAGGAGACAACCAGATTCTAGGTTTATGGTGAGATGTAGAGACTCCAGTCTTTGTGTAACAAACAATTCAGCTGAATCCGTCGTGGGAACATTGCCTTCCACGTCTCCACTACTGCCAGCAAAACAAGGTTAATCAAATATGATTGTGAAAGCACCAACCTTAAAGTTTTCTGTGCATGTGTGCAAACTGAAAAATCATTTATATAAGCATATATCATATGTATACTAATACACCCTAATCAAAAATTATCTTACAAGCTTAAAAATGAAGTTAAACTTTTCAGATCCACTAACCTAACTCCCTTATCTTC